CACTATACGGATTACTATTCGAGCAAGTATTATCGATTAAGTACTATTGGTACGAGTGATTATTCGAAGGCGTCTTGTTCAACGGCGTTATTATAGTTGTATCTGCGATTACAAAGTCTCTATTACGAGCATTACGAAAGTGACAACGAGTATTCGTTGACATTACATAAGTGGCAACAAGAGTTCGTTGACACCGCAAAATTATGTTATGTTCGTCCGAAAAAATAGCTATAACTGTTATATAACGATAAAAAAAATACTATGTAACTTAAAAATCGAAAACCGAAAAGAGAATATATGCAGTATAATAAATAAATAATAACAAGTAAAATAAATTGACCTAAATTCATCCAAATAAATAAATAAACTAACAAACTGGTCCCGATAAACTAACCGTTAGAAAAAACAAATAAAGATAATCAATCCAAATAAATACAACAAGTAATAACCATATTAAAAACTGTTCCCGCCAAAATAATAGTTAGAATAAACTACAACAATCAACCCCAAAATTGAATAAATAGCTTTAATTATCTTCCCAAACCAAAACAAAACTATTAAATATAAACAAATTTTTACTACGTTAATAAAAACACCGATTAAAAATAAAATTTAAAAAAATAAATAAGATAAGAAATAAAAATAAAAAATAAAATAAATAAAAACAAGCAAAATAATTTAACGTATATAACTAAATAAACGACTTCCGGTAAAATACCCGCCAAAATAGACTACCCATAATGCACCACTGACCCGTATATATATAACTAGCCGGGAAAAATAACAGCACTCGTGGCCTGACAATTGCATCTAGCATGAAACAAACTGTCGCCTCTAAGTGTTGAATTCTATGTTCACTTTTATATTTACACACGCTCTATCTTTGATATTGAGCACTTTATCCCATAAATATAGCACATATTAATACTATATATATATATATATATATATATATATATATATATATATATATATATATATATATATATATGTCTACTTCAGAGAAAAGTTTAAGAAGGAAAGCTAGATCAGTACTGGAAAGAGTTATAATAGTTCCTGGACTATTTTCATTTAACAGGAAAATTTTATAAATTCCAAACAACAGCCACCCTGGCTCTTCGGCCAATGAATATCGAATGTTTCCTTATAAAGAAACGATTAATATTAACTTGTTTTCTTCCCGGCTTTACGTATAAACTAAAAAGAAAACGCTAAAAACTCCATTGCACTCGTTTGCTCGGGTTATTGGGTGATAAACAATGTTCGTATTCACTGTAAATCATATTACAGTATCAACGGATCTTTTTACGAGGATTATTAATATTCTTCTCATGATCAGAGGCAAAGTTATGTTTTTGTCTGTGTTTCAGGAAGCAGGTGCAACATGATTATATCGTTTTTCAAGTGACGGTCTGTATGCGACTACGCATGCGTACTTGACTGCCTTCTTGTGCATGAGAGAGTTTGTGTGTGACGACGCATTCGGAACTATGTCCTTCTGCACAAATTGAAGAATGATTGCCTCAGAACTTATATTTATGGGATTGACGGTCTATATTGCACCGCTTGACCACATTTCTCTTCGGGAGAATGCGGGTTCATGCACGTATCCACGAATATCCAATTGTGTTAGAATTTGAGTTCAGCTAATCAGGTTTATTATTTTTGCGACTCTTTTGACGCCATCTTTTTTGCGCTTCGAGCAGACAACAGATAACTGAAAGTTAGCCTGGTAACCGAAGTACTGTCTGTAATATACAACTTCCATATTTGGTTAGGATTAAATATAATAAGAATTCAATGATTTTAGCGCCAATGTCCGAGTAAAAAAGCTACGTAAAAACGAAAATGTGACCCAGTTCACATGCGCGGTTATACTGAATAAATGCTCTGGGTAAATGAATCTTTAATTACAGAAACAAGAATTTTAGATTTAAATCAAATTAAACGGCCCTTCTGTTAATGCTCTTTTCTTAAAAATGGCCTACAGCAAGATCACACTGAAACAACAATCCTCACACAATCACTGATGCTTAACAATATCGTCCAGCTAGTCAGTAACTAGAAGGGTGACCGCTTGCGAATACTATGTACTATAAACTTAGATATGCGCTGAATTGGAAATCGAAGAAAAGGGTTCCAATCCCAGTCCGGTTCGTTATATACACTAAATAAAGTACTTGCTTGGAAATACAAGAAGCAGTAAGCTTGGATTTGCAGGGTGTGTAATGGTTAACTGCTCGGAATTGGAAATCGGTTCCAAAGATCGATGACAGGTAATGGATTTTAGAAACGTCTTTTCTTGAAACATTGTCTCAAGAGAAAGATTTTATTATAAGTTTCAGTCGAGAGCACTAAAAGCTACTCAGTCAATGAATGCTATAGCTTTCCTCAGAAGGCAACGCCAGTCATTACTATTGCTATTACAATATACAGGTTACAGTTCTTCCGTAGCGATATTGTATTGACAATGGTTTTGACTCTATGTTAAATTAATGTCTTTCAGCTGTATAATAACACTGTTCATTCCGTATCTATTATAGTTACGTGTAAATGATATCGTCTGTTTCATTATATATTCTATTACAGTTACATGAAGCATTGTCAATCAGTAATGGTTGCGGTGAATGCTGGAAAATTTCCTTGACAGGTGAAGAGACTTGAGGAGACAGAGATTTGGTTTTAATGAAGCGCAATGAAAATAACATGGAGGGAGCTTGTGAATGACAAAGAAGATTTCAAGAGATTTTTTAAAAAAAAAAAAAAAAAAAAAAAAAGGACGCGTTTATACTTAGAAAGCGACAACTGAAATTTCCAGAAGAATATAATGAGGAAAGAGGGCTTTGAGAAATTGACAATCAAAAAACATAAAATCTTCAAAAATTTAAATGCAATGTCAATCGCCATCTTCTGCCTTCTTGAGCCCTGTTTTTTCTTTGTCCTTTCCTCAATCATCTCCATTAAAGTCTCCTCATTCTCTTTCACTCCCTGTAACTTTCACCCCCATAATGAGTTCTAGTTGCATTATCGCCTTGCTTGGGGTGAAACAATTTAAAAATAAATAAAAGAGTTGGTTCATTCGTTTTCTACGGTTTATCAACCTTTTGCAGGTTATTTAAAGCCAAGAAATATTTGGTTTTACATCGTAAAAATTGGGAGACGGGAGAGATAATAATGGTTTAGTGATACAAGTCTTAATTAACTCGTAACTGGAAGTGAGAAGAAGTGGATTTATAGCTTCCCCAAGAGTATTTGCGCGTAAGTGTATGGAACGAACACAACTGAAATTGGAACTCGGCTCTGTGATTAACAATTTGAGCCCTTATCCATTGCACCTCCCACACATCCTAGCTTATAGACCATGGTCACCTATCTAGGTACTGACCAGGCTTGACGTTGCTTAACTTTGATGATCGTACGAGAATATACTACTCAACGTGATGTGGTCTAAGCGGAAGGTAAGAGGGACACAGCGAGTAACATATCTAACAAGATCGTCTAAACAGATGGCAGGACAGGGACTAGGAGAGATTGTAAAGGGACTATGCTTAGTGTTACAAACGATAGGAAATTGTCGAAATCCATGATTGCCATTGAATTATTAGTAGTAATATTGAATGTTATTATTATTATATGAAACATTGTCATTCATTACAATTTTTTTTAAATGTATTCCGTTCATATTAATCCAAATTTCTTTCTATTCTTTTGTTAGAAGAATTAGTACTGAGGGTGTGCGGGTAATGTAATGCGTATCGGAGCGGAAAGTAGAGCCTGCAAGACGGGTTCAAATCCCGTGTTAAACTGTTACGCACACCTTGGAAACAGGGAAAGGTTTTAATCCACTTCTCCTCTCACCACTCTCCCTTATGTGGGTTAAAAAGCAGAGAAAACTAGATTTGGGTCGCATCCAGTTTTAAAAAAAATGGAAATCTCTGAATTCCAAATCATGGAGAAGGCAACAGAAAACAACTCCACCATGTTTCACAGAGAATAAAAGAAAGTGTATGTGGATGATTATGATTTCCTATGTCCTGAAATGCATTATTATTTAATTAAAGACTGTTAGCTTAAATAGTAGAGTAGACTGAATGCACTAGTCGTGGGTGGCAGCCAATCTAATAATGTGGGGAAGACAATGGGATTACACTCGGATAACTTTCCCAAGAGTGTATAACAATTTACAGATAATATAATAAAAGAATAAAAGAAAAACGATAGCCATGATTGACTAAGCCCTAAAAAGATATGACATATAAAAATAGTATTAGTAGTAATATTTCATTGAAAAGTAGTTCGATCATCCTAATTTCAGTAGTTTTTATTCGCGTCTACTTACACTGTTAGTCTATAGCTCTTAGTAAAGAGACTACTTTTTCAGAAGAACTTGTACCTGATCTCTTTTGAATGGAAAAACCTCTGTATATGACGCTGTTTTACAGCCTATGCGACAAAAGACAGATAACATCCAATCATTGGATTCCTTATTTTCCTAATCGCCGCCATATTTCTTATTTTCCTTTTCATCGCCATATGTGTTTTCTTTTTTATATGCACGAATATTTTTAGTCGTAAGATTGTTTGAGTTATATATTTTAAGTTATTTATTATTTTCTTTTAAATATTATTTTTATTTTGAATATGATTTTGCTGAGTCTTGGGGAAAAGTCATGAATAAATCTGGTTAAATTTGATATTCTGCAAAAGCTGGCAAACGAAAAAGTGAAAAAGAAATATAAATCCTTGAGATATTGTGGCAGAAAAGTCGGAAGAAAGACACGTCTTAATCTAGTAAATTTGAAGCAGAAAACAAGTAATGACTTCAGATGTTGTAAAGTTCTGGCGCATTATATTCTATTCATTTTAGTGCGCTTTTGATAAATTATCGTACTTCGATGGTGTATGTGTCGGGAAATTATCGAACTAAGAATTTTGTCTTAATCCACCTACCAGTCGATATTTTGCAAGGGTTTCTTTTATGCTAGTTATTGGGTGCAATTTTACGGTCATATCACGTTGAAACACCGGTTCACGTACGATCACCGAAGTTAAGCAACGTCGAGCCTAGTCAGTAACTAGAGGGGCGACCTCTTGAGAATACCAGCTGCTGTAAGCTTAGATGTGCGGTGGATTTAATGGATAACGACTCGGAATTGAGAATCGGAGAGCCGGGTTCCAATTTCAGTCGGGTTTGTTATATTTACTAGATGAGGTGACCGCTTGGGAATACAAGGTGCTGTAAGCTTGGATGTGCAGGCTTTGTAATAAATAACGGCTGGAAATCGGGAGGCCGCGTTCCGAGTCAAGTCGGGTTCGTTATGCTCCTATGTACACAAATGCCACCTGGAAATATGTTAATCTACATCCCCCCCCAGCTATGGTTAAATAGTAGGATTTGGATTGGTAGAATCACTATTATCTTAAAAAATTATTCCAATTCAAAATTATTTTCGGCTTTAAATAAGCTCCAAAAATTTAATAATCCGTAAAAAAAACAAAAAAAAACAATCAATGTTAAAAGATTGGGATAAACATAAATAATTAAGCCAAGAATCTGATCCGCTAAATAAATAAATGACGAAGGACTTCCGATTCGAGATGGTTCGGGAGAAATCTGGCCTCTTCTACGTGATTCTAGAAGCATCTCACGGCGGAACCGGAAGTGTTCCATCACACAAAAGGCGAAATATAAAAGAAAACATTTTGGTATGAACTCGGGGACATCAGAGTTTACTGGCGAGTTTCGCAAAGCTAGAGGCAGTTAAATTGAGGAGAAAATTGTAAGCGAAATATACGAACTGACCCTTCGGTCGCCCGGTTGCGGGCAGATTTAAGATGTCTCTCCTGTAGAGAGCAGTTTAATAACCTGCCGATATGACCGCCATTACTCGTTTTTCTCTCACTTGACAATTCACACGAGCGAAAAAATAAACCATGAAGTAATCAATCTAGGTCTTTAACAAAATGGCTTCCGCGTATTTTTTTTTTTTTGTTTTGTTTTTTTGTATGATGCAGCAACGGAATTTAGTGCCATCGCAAGCGACCACATCACACACCATGATTTAGAGCAATGGATGGTATTGTTACATCAGCAGCAGCAGTCCCATGACCAGGTGTGTTCATGAGGATGCTGCGCAGCTCGGTACCTAATCAGCACTCTCCATAAATGATGGTTACATTCCATTAACCGTGCCCCTAGGAATGTTCTTCCAGTCCACTTGGTGACAGTGTCAAATCATTTTCCACATTGCCTGTCACTTTTTGCCTACGGTGGCAACTTGTAGGGTGACAGTGGGAAGATTATTGACTGTTATTATGTTCCTACACCATTTTAACTAGATCTTTCTTGTTTGATGATGTCTCTAGCTGAATCATTTTTTATTCACTCTACGTAAAAGTGATGCGCCGTATAGTTCTCCAGCATTTTTTTAACGCTTGGATTCTTCGCGGTAATTCTCCTGTTAATGCTCATGATTCTCACGCAGTCGTGCATATATATTGAAATGTTAAGTGCGAGCAAAAGTTTTAGTCATGATTTTAAACAGACCTTGTCTTTTCAGATAGTTTCTTAGTTTTACGACAGCTTCCATTTTAAATGTGCTGCTTTTGAATGCATTTCAAATGCAAATTGATAAAGTATTCCACATGGATATCTGGCAAGTCAAACGAATTCGATGTTCGAAAGATTTGACATTAAAAAAGTTTTCCCAAATATTAATTTGCATAATAAATTCTTCTTGTTGAATTTTTATTGTTGAAGGTGTCAGTTTGAAGACTTTAAAATCTGTTAAATTTTAGATTTATTCAGTAAAAAGTGGAAGCTCATCCAATACAAGGCTGAAGAGCCACTCATGGTAGAGTGTTACTCAATGTGGTGTGTCATGAATGTAAAAATAGATAGAAGGAAGTAAAGATCGTGAGGATAATGTTAAATAAAATACGGCAAGAGTGTAATGGGGCTGGGGGAATCACCTAACCGATTGCTCTCCCAACCACTACAGGGTTAACAGGCAGAGAACGAAAAAAAACGGGATGGAAACAAAAACAACACTGACCCAGAAACCGCGTCACGTAACATGAGGGAACAAATATGTCCAAGGGACCCACTTCAGATGGCACCGAGTGCCAGTGACTGCTGGTTTTCTTGTCGCGTTTATTGTCAAGTAATAAATCAAGACAATTTATAGGGAGGTCCGTATCTGGATATGAAAAGTTGTTCTGCTACTAACGGAGAAAAGTCGCATGTAACTGGTCTTGAAGACATGTCCGCACGAGATTTGGGGCCTCTTTTGTCTCTTTTCAGACGCGCGTTCACCACAGATAAAGAGGGTAACAATTGACCTTTGACTTGAAAAGGGTAAGGTTGTTTAAGGAATAGTTTGTTACACAAAGTTACAGTTCTTTGGAAAATGCTAAATGGCCCTTCTTACAAATGGAATACAGAATGGACAATGTGAGTTATTCGACGCCATAGACGTAGCATGAAAATGGAAATAGCGAAGGGCTTGCAACGTCGCCTCTGTGGCAAAGAACGCCGTAAAAAAATGATTAACGGTGGAGATCTAAGAGTAATAAGTGAATGCTGGACAATCTCTTCGGAGATGAAGAAGAGCGTTGAAGCAACAGAAATGGGATTCTACACAAGGGTGCTGAGGATACCATGAAGCGAATTTGTGGGCAAGCACGATGTTTTAAAGAAAATGGAAACAAAAAGTGAACATACTTAACATCAGGAAGAAACAGCTGAAATTTCTGGGTGACATAATGAGGAAGGAGGGCTTGCAAAAAATGATACTCACGGGACAGACTGAGGACAGGAGGGACAGAGGATGACAGCGCATAATATATTTGATGAACATAGGTAAATAGATGCCGGGACAGGGTTTGGAAGAAATAACGAAAAGACAAAATTTATTAAGAGTTACAAGGGACACGAAATTGTAGAGAGCCATGATCGACTACGGATTGAAGAGACGCAGCATATAAAGAATAAAATGGTTGTTGTGTGTAATTTTGTTTAGTGGCATATCAACCTCTATGGTTTATTTAATGTCGAAATCTAAATATTTTGTACTCAATTTTATGACTTCAAATACAGATACGTTGTACATAGTTTTATACTTTCAGGGCAACCGTATGATTTTTAGATATATAGTTTGTAGATGATAAAATGTATTGTTGGTATTTTTTTAATTAATGCCTCTGATTTCAATGCAAAAATGCATTATTGGTAATCTTTTGTAAAAATGCATAACTGGTAATTTTACTAGAAAAGTGTATTTTTATTTATTTTTTTAGTGTTGTATTGATTGCCATTTTAATATAAAAATGCATTAATAGTCATTTTATTATAAAATGTATTGTTTGACTTTTTTATGTAAAATCTATAGTTGGTCATTTTACTGCAAAATCTATTGTTGGTATTATATATCGCTGTTATAATGTTATATTATGTTATTGTTGTGGAGGCCTCCCTCTTAAAAGTCTATGTTGGACTCTTCCGCCTACTATAAGATTAGTAGGAGAGAAGGCGTTAGGGGAACAATGAACAGGGAACTGTGAATAGACTAAGCGCTAGTTCATTCGATACACACTCACTAGACGTGTCATACTCTTCTAGTGAACTTAATGTTTAATATGCGATATATCTGCAAACCTGGTTTTTATTACTTAATCATTTACTTAGTCAACACAGTTATATATATATATATATATATATATATATATATATATATATATATATATATATTATATTATATATACATATATTACATTATTACATATATAATATTATATATCACAGTACATATATATTACATATATTATACATTATATTACATTACATTATATATTATATTAAATATTATATTATTATATATAATGTTATATATATTTTAATATATATATTATATTATATATTATTATATATATTATATCTATATATTATATATTATATGTTATATATATTATATTGTTGTTATAATATAAAACATGTTTTTTTTATAAAAGGTTATTGCTGGTAATTTCATTACAAAAATATATTGTTCGTAATTTTTAATAAAAAATATTGCTGGTATTTTTACGATAAAAAAGTATATTTATACTTTTCCTTTTTGTTTGGAGGTTCACTATTTGTAAAAATAGCTGAGAACCTAACAGGTGCTACCACCCCGAATTAGGTTGGACCTGGGAAAACAGCAATTAAGAGGTGGTTCCACACCCCTCAAAACCTCCAGTCTCTTACCTTCCTGCCAGATATAGTTTATCGTCAGTCATACCCAGAACTAGAGTAAGTCGCTATAATAATAGATAGTCACCATTGTAAAGGGTGTTTGATTAAGACGGATTATATATAAGGGTGTTCCATTAAGACGGATCAAAGTTAGCAGTAAATAAATCAGTGTTATTGGTGAAAATTTATTTATTTCTCTATTGGATCATGTTATTTAAGTCATGGCAATTATGTGTGAAAAATAATATCACTCAAATGTCCACAAAATCTGAAAGAAAAAGAAAAAATCATTAGACTCTTAGATTCAATTGACATTTATAATACGGTCCAAGTTATTGGAACACGCTTTAGTAATTAATCTTTAAATAGGGGTAGAGAATCTTTAACCATTATCCCCCTGGTGTCAGTTTGAATAGACAAATTCATTTCTTTTATATAGTCTTAAAGATCGTATTTTCTTGATTTCAAATGGAGACTTGGAAAATTTCCAACATATTTCAGTTACATTATTTACATTATTCGGACTATGGCGACAAAGATGAGGACAATAGTCCGAATAAGGTAAATAATGTACATAATACCTCATCTCAGAAACATAAACATATTTCAGTTATTTTTTTTTTATTTTAGCCCACAAACTTTACCAGAAGCGCCTCCCTTGCAGCTCAAAGAGGTCTGAGTCAGGGGTGGTCTATCAAACCTGGTAGCATCTGGCTGTCGGAAGGTTGGTATGTGAAAGCCCGCCTTGGTTAAGCCAACCCGACCGACACATTGCCTATTCTACCGTTGGTGTATTCGAGGTTTGGTTGCTTTCAGTCTGGTACCTCCTCCTCAAAATTACCGCCATAGGTAGCCCTACAGGCGTTGAAAATTTAGACGGCT